CAAGATCCAAGGATCTCCAGGCATGCACCTCCAGATGGTGATGTCAGAAAGCATCCTGGCACCTGGCATCTTAACTTGGTTGCAAGTAGTTGACAGGCAGGTGCAAAATGCACCTGCCAAATGTCGAATGCTGATTACAGGTGATGTGTTAAAATTAATCCTGGAGTATGCACTGCCTTCCTGTCTCCAAGCAACTTGCCTAGGTCACCTGTGAACCCCTGATGGTCTTAATCAGAAGATGAGGGACACTGCTAAAGAACCCCTCCAAATGTTGGATTACAACTCCCATCATCCCTAGTTGCTAGCCATACTGGCTGTGGATGATGGGAGTCAGAGTCCAACAACATCCAGAAGGCCACAGGTTCCTCACCTGATAATCAGATCCATCCATACTATTCACCAAGTATCCAGGTTCAGTGTGCAAATTTCACACACACAAATAAATTCCAAACTGGCACACTTTGCACTGAAACAAGTATTTGCTTTTGTAGACTTTTGTACTTTTTGCTTTGTTTTTGCCAAGCGTTGGGAGGAGAAGCCTTAGGAGAAATAGCAAGGCGTGCCTAGAACCTAGAAGTAAGATAGCAACACTGGGATAACCAGCCAAGTCAGTGATACCAACTCCATGTTTCCATATGAAAGACCCTCCAAGATTTCAGTGGTGAATTTCTCAAGAACGTGCAGTTGTACCAGATCCAAGATATTGCACAGGATTATGTGCACTTCTGGCATGTAGTAGTCTAGCCATATAAATGACAAGCAGCCCAGGTGACAAGGTCATTTGTTGGCTACTAATTACAAAGCCATTTGGTAACACTGAGAAAAGGTCAACTTTATTCAGGTCAAGTCTTACCCAGAGTAGACCCACTTAAATTAATGGACATAGTTCACCCTGTGAGCTGCTGTGTTCTTCCCCCATCCCAGGACACAGGAGCACTTAATTGAATGCCACACTTTCCCTGCCTCTAGCCCTGATTTACTAGGGTCAGGGAGGAGGGGAGAATGGCGAGGCTGCTGCCACTTGTGCCTTAAGACAGTGGAGAAACAAGGAAAGCGAGGAGTGAAAAACAGCATGTTTATTTACAGAGCCTGGGCCAGGCTTCAGCCACGCCAACTGGTGAAGCACAGCAGCTGCGACCATCTCACACAACACAATTAAGTCCCATTCCCCAAGCTGCGCATAACGACTAACAGAAACGAGGAGGTCTGGCTCCCAGCCGGCTGGCTCCTTCCTTGCGTAGAAACAGGGATGGAACCCCCAAAGGGCCAATTTCCTGTCTGAACTTGCTACTCGGGGGCATTCCTGCTCCACCCCACCCACCTGCCCCTGGCTGCTAACGCCACACTAAAAGCTTTGGGTGAGGCCTTCTGACGTGGGAAGGGATTAGGCCCTGGGCAGAGGAAGAACCTTGCCAGTCCTTCCTGCAAAGAGACTGAAACATCCTGGGCTCTTTCCTGTGTCTCCTGTGATCTTCCCTTCTCCCTTGGCCTTTCTTTCCCATCCCAAGTGATCCAGGATTGGCTTGTGCCCCTAGGTGACAGGTGGGAGAAAAGACCCAAAAGGGGCCTTTCGGTGGGCAGCAGAGAGCCTTAGAAAGCATACGTGGCAAAGAAGAGCTGAAGAAGGAAGGAAGAGAGAGACAGAGAGAGCAGAAGCAGAGCCTTCTGGAATGACTGGCAGACTGGACACTCTTTGCCAGCTTAAAGGACAAGGCTTAGACCATGTACTGGTCAAGGCCATTTTAGCTGCACCCTGCAGGATTTCAATTCTGCTCTTTCACTGGAGGTTTTAAAGCAGAGGTTGGGTGGCCATCTGTCATGGATGCTTTAGCTGAGGTTCCTGCATTGCAGCGGGGTCGCACTAGATGATCCTGCTACTCTATGTTTCTACATGATCGGTATTTCATCTCACAGCCTTAGGAAGCCCAGGTGATAGAATTATTCGCCCAGAGGTTGACTGAAGACACAGAGCATGCAGCTCCATATTAAATAAAAACAACACACACAGCACAAAATCCAAGAGGAGCCGATTGGTTCCAATGGACTGCATGGTTGACCTTGGCTCGGGGTTCAAATCCCAGTCACCATCAGCTGATCAGAAGCCAGACTCAGTTTAACCATCGGTGAAGTGGAAACAGCAATGGCCTTACATAAGAGGAAGATCAACCAATTTAATATTTTGTTAGCCAACTCCCAAGGGATCAGCTGTGACAGTCTTATGGAACAAAAGACAACTAGCAGTCTTGGAGACTGATTTATGATGCCATAAGCTTTTTGTAGGCCAAATGTAATTAATAACTAAACATCACATGACACCCACACGAAGGCATCACAACAGCGCTGCTTATTTTAAATATGGTTGGTAACCACGTTTGTGCCATGTTTGGGAAGACAATACTGCCACTAGCCAAATGTAGAAGTAGCTATTGCAGGTCTCTCTCCCTCTCCCTTTCCTCACACAATGCCTCAAAATCTAAACCAGGGTGTGTAGGGTTGTAGATGACAGTCTCTCTTTTCTGCCCCGTAATGGATATTGTGGAGATTGCTGGAGTTTCACCAGGAATAAGGGATGGGGGCTCAACCTGTCTGGCGTCAAGCTAAGGCCTTGCCCCTCCTGCTCCAGGCCCCACAGATCCCCATCCAAACTGCCTGCAGAAACAGCATGCCCAACCTTGGCACAGATTAGCCTCCCTAGTGCAGAAGTCGACCCTTTACCCTGCCTGCGCGAGTGGGGAACGGCTATTCGAGCTGCCATTTTCTTGCACTGTAACTTTAAGAACCCAGTTCCCCCTCCTCTCCATCTCTCTCTCTCTCTGCTGCATTGCTGACCCTGTGGCTCTCGCTCTCTCTCTACCACCCCCCTTCCTGCCTTTACACCCACAAGTGAGATGCGGTGCATACAGCTATTACAGAAAGAAAGCACACATGAATCTAAGCCACCACTCCAGCCCTACACACACACCCCACTCCTTTCTCCCTCCATGCCCATGCTTTCCAGAGGGTGGGGTGCACATTGCAGTACGGCAGGAGTGCACAACTGAGCAATCGCTACAAGGTCAAAATGGCTTTGTGTCATCTACAAAGGCTGTTTTCCCCTTACGGTGGTCCCCGCCTTTTTAAACCCTAAATGTGGCATGAGCAGGCACTCATATCTGCCCCCACCCCGCCTACCTGCAACCAGGCGCATATTGCACAGAGGGAAGTCTGGTCACAGACCCACCCATGCCATGCTTCCCTTGCACGCGCACACACACACACACACACACACACACACGGAGCCCGCTGGGTCTTGCCACCTTCCTCCCTGCTGCTCACCCAACCTCGCCATCTCACACCCCTATTCTCCCGCCGCCTGAGATACGCGCGCGTCCCCTCCATCCCTTTTCCGCATTTCCACCCCGTCTCCTCCTCCTCCTGGCAGCATTTGCAACAGCCTCAGTACAAGCCGATTGTGCGTCGGGGGAGGCACTCAAACCCCTCCCTGAAATGCTGCCGCCAGCTCCTTTTGTTCGCCTGCAATCCCCCTGCCTGCAGACTCGCTCTCCAGCTCGCGGGGGGTGGGTGGGTCGGTGAGTGGGGTGGGGCCCAGATGGGAACGTCTCTCTAGGAGAGAGGACGAGGTTGGGGGGGGGTGGAGCGGTAGAGCGCGATGCTGCTTTTGAAAAGGATGGCATTTGCAAGCGCGCAACAAAATGCAACGCGCCAAGGAGGGCGGCGCGTCCCTCCCCCGCTTGCGTGCAGAGGGGCGGCGGCGGCGGCAGCAGCAGCGGAGAAATGCAGGTTCTAGATAGACGAAGCCCCCTTGCAACGGCATCGTCGGCTCCCCCGCCCGTCCCGTGGCAAGCCGGATCGCTTTCATTTCGCCGCTTGCCCTCCCCCTCTCCAAGGCACCGTTGGCAGAGGCAGCGGGCTGCAGCAGCTCCTTCCTCGCCTCCGAGGAGCCGCTTGGAGATGCGCGCCCGAGGGCGGCATGCGGAGAGGGCCACCGCGCGCCTTCCCGGCCCCGTCGAGCACGAGGTGGCCCGCGGGCGGCGATCCCACCCAGCCGAGAAAGCGGCGTGCCTTACGCGCGCCTGCATGGCGGCAGCCAGACGTGCGCGAAGCACCAACGGTTGCCCGCGGCCAGCTCGAGAGAGACACACCCCGAAGCGACCGAGGCGCACAAAACGCCCAGACACCGCCTCCCCTCCCGATTCCTACGCGCAATATCTCTCGGATCTCTCCAGAAACCCGTCGGGTTGCATCCAAAATTGCAAGCCGCTGAGCTAGAAATCTGGCTTAAGCTGGGCCGCCCTGCGGAGGCAACGCGAGGAGGGGGGGGCGCAAAATGTCCTTCTCTCCCCTTCTTGCACGACCTCCACGGTGATGGATGCGTGCAGGAAAGGACTGTTGTATCTGCATAACCGTTCCCCTCCAAGAAAAAAATCAACCACACGGATAGGACACCCCCCCTCCATTATAATAGATGCTTTGGTTGTGTTATGGTCGATTCCATCGTCCTCCGAGACGCAGCTAGCTCCGCTTCGGCCATGCACTCGAATACGCACACCCTCCCCAAGGAAAACCCGAGAGAGGCTCGCCCTTCTCTCCGACCTGCACAATGTACTATAGCTGACACAATCCAGATACGTGTGTGTGTGTGTTCGTGTGAACACGCTCTTTAGCCCTTCTCCGCCCGCCCGCAATCTTTCAACGGGGTGGAAGGGTGTCGTATGGATCCTTTCAGGCTCCCGAGTCTCCAAATAGCCCCCCTTGTGTGCGCGCGTGTCCCTGGCGAAGGGGGCGAATGCGCCGGCGGAGAGCCACCGCGGCAGAGATTTCGCCTTCCCTTTCACCTCCCGGTTCAAGGCCAAAGCTCTCCCGAACGAGCAGCGGGGAGGGGCAGGGCTCTCCGGAGCGCCGTCTCCGCTACATTTCCCCCTTCCCCCATTTATCCATCCATCCAGCCCGCCGCCGCCCCCGAAGCATACAAAGGAGCGCCGGAGCCGCGAAATACCTACAGTGACCATGCTTAGGGCGCGCCGGGATCCTGCCGGGCGGCGGCGGCGGCGGCGGCTCCGTGGACGGCTCTAGAATCGGGCTTCTTCGCCCCCTTCTTCTTCCTCCTCCTCCTCCTCCTCGGGTGGGGCGGGTCGGAACGGATTGGCCCCGGGTGCGGGGCGGGGGTCGCCTTGCCTTCCCGATCGATGGCGAGTTGGACCCCCCGGCGACGGTGGCGCATACAAAATAAGGGGGGGGACCGTCCGGGTGAGGTGGGGGGAGGGAGGAAGCGAGGATAAATTGCTGTCCGGGGGGGGGGAGCGGAGGGAAGAAAAACCCTTCTTTTTATAAAAACAGCTTCCCTCGCGAGGAGAAGGGAGGCGGGGAAGGAACGGAAGAAGAGGAAAAGGAGAAAGGATGGGCGTCGAAGCGGGATTTAGCCCGGAGAAGGGAGCCGTGAGGAATGTTAAAAGGAGAGGAGGACGGAGCGGAGAAAACAGAAAAAGAAAAGAACGCGGGAGGGGGGGAGTAGAACGAGAGAGAGAGAGAAATGGGCGGATTATTTTTTTTTTAAGGGGGGAAATTAAAAGGGGGGGAAACGGAGGAGGGACGGACGGGAGGCGAGCGACTCGCGGAGATTCACACAATGGTCCTTTAAACGCCCTTGACTATTTACACCCGGGGATTTTGGCGAGGGGGGGGAGAGGGGATGGGCGGGCGCTCTCTTCTCCGGGCCCCCCCTCGGGGCCTGTCCTTGGCCGCGAGCAAGGCGCTAGTCCGTCGGGGGCCCCGGCCGCCGCAGCTGGGCTCGCTCCGCCGCCCGCGCAGCCCCTCAGTGGCCCCCCACCTGCCGGGCCAGAAGCTTTTATGAGCCCCCCCCCACCAAGACTGACAGGGCCCCCGCTCATTGGCTGGCGGCGGCGAGCCATCACGGAGGCGCGCTCCTCCCTGCTCCGCTTAGAAACCCCCCCACCACCACCACACACGGTGGAGAGGCTGCGTGGGGAGGTAACGATGGGCAAAACGAAATGCGCGAAGGAGAGAAGACGAAGCGCCCCCCTCTGAATCTTTGCTTCTTCTCCCTTTCCTTTATCTCCCGATGGTGAACCCTTCCCCGCCCCCCGCTGCAGACGCCCGTTCAGACGGGCATTTAGGCCACCCACCAGCCCAGGGAGGGGAATTTAGGGGAAGGCATAGAACAGGTGGTAGAGAAATCTCTCGCGCATCCTGCCCCAGAAAGCGGGGTGGGGGGAGATAAGGGAGATGGTGGAAGGAGGAGGAAAGAGCTGGGATAGCTCCGTCAGTACAGCATGGCAACTCTTAATCTCGGTCATGGGTTCAAGCACCACGTTGGGCAAAAAAAATCCCTGCATTGCAGGGGTTGGACTAGATGACCCTCGGGTCCCTTCCAACTCTGAAATTCTATGATTCTAAGAGAAAGAGCAGAAATGACTGGCAGAATCCGAGACCTGGGAGAAGAGTCAGTGGCAGAGGACTGGAAGAAGTTTAAAGACTACTTGCAAAAACATTGTAAAATGTTTGAATGTTAAAATGATGCAGGATACAAGGACAATATGGCATTAGTGACATAGTTGAAAGGAATATGTAAAAATGTTTTAAAAGAAGGGTGAAAAAGTTAGAATAACATTATGTCAGATTTAAATAAAACGACATAAAGGGAAAAATTGGAGACATAATAGGTTGAAATGTACAATATAGAACAAGATTTGAAAGAGGGTAAGGCACTGCTGAATATGATTGTGTAAAAGGGAACACAGAAAAGGGAGATGTGAGGAAGTCAGGAAAGAGGGTTATAAAAACAATATAAAAAAAATGGATTTTTATGCCTTTTTTGGGTTTTTTCTTTTTTTTCCCTTCTACCTTTTTATGTTTTTTACTGTATTTTTCTGTTTTGATTTGATTGTGATAATGCTATTTTCTTTTCTGGTATGATTGTGAAATTTGTTTTACTGTTTAAAATCTCAATAAATATCTTTTTTAAAAAAAGGATTCTAAGAGAAAGAGAGAGAGAGAAGACAAACACACACCACATACACACACTAGCTTCCTTAGGGCAATGAAGAAAGTGCTGGAGCAGAACTATCAGATCATGTGAAACTGCACGGGATCCACAAGCTACCCCCCACAGCAGCATCCCTGCAGCATCGAAGAGGATGCTGTGCTGAGCACACCCTGTGGTGGACAATCCATTAGTTGCCCTCCAACATCCTCTGCAATATTGGCAAGGGACACTTGGAATAAGAGCCAGCCATGCCAGGTAAACTGATTCTGGTTGCAAATGAAATTGCTCCGACTGAAACCCAGAATGTATATTCCAGACTCCAGTTCTCTTGCAGGGCTTTGAGGTGGTACACATACATGCATGCTGAACTGGCCAAAGGGAGAAAGGGCAGATATCTCTCACAAGGGAATCACGCTTAGATCTGAAGCTGAAAGGTGATTCCCTGGTATTCGAGAATCAGTGGGCACAGAGAGCAAGATGGCGACTGTGGAGTGAGCAAGTGTTCACAGCTAGGTCAGGGAACTCAAAAATAGCTGTCGTCACAACTGAACTTGCGCTTGCCCATTTTGCATGTAAAAGCATTAGATTGGAAGTTGCACACAAATGAGTTATTTAATGGCATATCATACCCAATCAGGTGCCATATTCCTGTAATGTTCAACTTAGACTCTAGTGTCCTGGGTGATCTCTTGACACCAGCTTCGTAAACCCCAGACAGAATTACTCATCCAACTAAAAAACAACTGAGCTCCTTCTATTATAAAGAGACCCGCAGTTACTCCAACACTGAGGGCTTCTAAATGAAACATACCTGATAGCTGTTTGTCTGCCTGAGGCAAGTCTGAACTTGGCTTTGTTTTTTAAAAAATATATAGCTGAGAATATTTTTTGGTCACAGACGTCCTGAACATTATTATTTCCCTACTCTAGCAAGTATCCCAGAGATGTGTTGGGCACCTGAGAATCCATTCAGGTATATTAGAACTAAGGTAGGGTTACCAGATGTCCCTGGTTCCCGGGGACAGTCCCCAGATTTGCAAATCTGTCCCTGGGAAACGTGGCAGCGGCAGCCTCAGCAACCAGCCTGGTAGCGCAGTTGGCTCTGGCTGGCTTCAGGAGCTGCTCACTGCTGCGGTGCCTGCCATTTTTCCTCGCCGGAAGTCCCCATATGATGTATCTTGTGCGCAACACATCATATGGGGCTTCTGGTGAGGAAAAATGGCTCCAGGCTGCTGACTGCCCCTGCTGCTGCCACTGCCGAAGGGGAACTGAGGACGTCCGGCAGTACAGATTTCCTGCCCCTTCCCCCCTTTGTTTTGACTGATCGGGGGAGGTTTGGGAGTTGCGGGTGGGCGGCCGTTGCCCAGTTTTTTTAAAAACTCTGCGCATTTATGTTTCACAGGGTGCGAAAGAAGGGCTTTGCACCTTTATACAATATGGATGTGTGCTTGGGCCCAGGGTCTTTTGCCTAACCATCCCCGCTGCTGACTCCCTGTTGCTACTCAGCTTAAAAAAAAAAAAGGCCCCAGATTCATTGAAAAAAATCTGGTAACCATAAACTAAGGGTTGTGGCGGGGGGGCGGGGGCGGGCAGACTGGGCAGCTACTTCTTAAGGATCCTACCTGCCTAGACAGCTCCCCCCAGGAAGAAGCCCACCCTCAAGCAATTTCTATGTCTTCCCTTAAATAATCTTGAAACTTGTAGTTTGGTGAAGATGCTGGTGATTTCCCTTTTGGGGGCAGGTTGCTGACCCCCTTCACACAAAACTATCATTCCCAGGGCTCCCCATAGCGAGGGAATAGCTACTGAACCCATTGAAATCTGTAGTGTAAATACACTTCTCTTGGCTCCATGTGAAGCAAGGGTTTCCCAGGCCCTTAACCTCTGCACTCCAATAAAAATATGGAAGTGTAGGAAACACCTTATACCAAGTCAACCACTAATTGAATCCATCTAGCTTAATACTGACTTGCATCATCACTCAGAGGGGTGGGATCATTCCTTGCCCTACCTGAAGATGCTGAGGATTGAACCTGGATCTTCTGCATGCCCCTGGTGCCATGGACCCTCCTATCAGTATACTTTGTTAGAGTGCGTGAGAACCATCCAGACTTGGGGATTGTCCTTAACAGCCCTTTCCTAATCTTGCAATTGACTAATTTCTCTTACAGCGTCAGAAATTTTTCTCTTACAGCGAGAGAAAATTATTCTCTTACAGCGTCAGAAATTTTGATCCCACATAATGTCCTGGACACAAGTATTCACCAAACTGGAGTCGAGCATGTGGAATTGCAGGGACTGCAGAATTTCTAATTTCAGCAAGGGGGATGTGTGTGTTTTCATCTCTCTGTGTGCCTCTTGTCACTTTTCCATTGGCCTTGGTACTGCCGTGTTTCACCAGGCGAGGTCGTCTGTTTGCAAACGTGTCCCAGAAATTTGTAGGTAGGCTTGTTTTAGGGTGGCTCTTTTTCTTTCTTTCTTTCTTTTTTTTTTTGTCTTTTCAGTGTGTTGTTTGTTGCTGTTCAGTTTGATGAGCTAAAAACGTGGCTATTTGTAGACTCAGTTGCTTATTCAAGGATTGGCGAGCGCTAACATTTTGATCTTTAGAACTGGCCTGTGTTTTTACTCTAACTTGTCTCAGCCTTTCTTTCTTTGACTTGTGGTCGTTTTGATTTGGGTAGCACTAGATAACACTAATCCTTTTTATTTACAAGGAGTTTGCAGGAAGGAAAGGCACATCCCAGTTCTTCCCTGCAGGCCTTGTAGATGGGGTGCATACAGAAAAATCTGTGGCAGAACATTAGCAAGATTTGTATGATCTCTAGTTCTTTGTAGAACAACAACCCATGTGCTGATTTGGTTTCTACGGGTTCTACTGTATTAAGCCTTTGAAATCATGTTCTCAGTAGGTCTGCTGTACAATTATTCTGTCATGGTTCTGTCATTTTGTTTTTGCCAGCATGGCTTTACCTGTAATCTTCTCCTCTGCAGGCCACTCATACATATTTCTATCATCTCTTGCTTGTATTATTTACCTTCCAGTACCCAATGACCTTGGAAATCTCTGAGTTTATTCCAATATGACCGCCCTTGCTTGTCATTCAACCTAGCGCTGAGTGGGTCTCAAAGAGGGCCTCAGTGTTTGCCATGTTCGCCAGACCAAATTGTACAAACCAAAAAATGGAAAGCCACTGCCTGCCCCCATCAAAGTCTTCCCTCAAAGAGCAGAAAGTTAATAACTGTTGAGAGAGCCATAATGACTCTAGCCTGGCTGGCACTGACCTCTGATCCTACCAGTCCTGCAGACCTGCAGTCAGGGCTTATTTTTCTAGAAAAATAGGTGCTGGTTCTCACCATGAAGTTGTTACATTAAGTGCCACACTTTTAAACAACCGCACCCTTGAGTACAAAATGGAAGATCTTGCTCCATACTCACACTTATGGGGTGTGGCTTCTGGCTCCCCTACCCCATCCTTTACCATAGTGCCTACACAACATCACCTTAGTCCTACTACCAGCCAATTGCTATCACTCTTTATATAGCACTTCAAGAAGAAACCAAAAAGTTCTGCTGCAATGCACTTAATTTCCCCATGCTGTGGAAGGCAATGGGTGCTTTGTTCCCATTTCCACAAATGGGAAAACCGAGGCAGGTTGGAAAACAGGCTGCCAAGGTAGTTCTGCAGTGGGACTTGAACATAGCTCTTCCACCAAGCCATGATTCTGAAACTGCTGGACCATATTGTCCTTCTCCATGGCCCATCATGCAGTTCCTTCTCACCCAAGGAACTGAACTGGGAAGGAAGAGAGAGACC